AAGTTTAGCAATCATGAAACCACTTGCATACCTATAGCTTGGAAGATCTTCGCACACTTGGTATGGCCTAGAATTTTATTTCGTTTGAGGTAGTCGGCTATTATTCCAAAAATATTTTTTGATATCATCTGAGAGATGAATGGAATCATAGAGTAGTATCCATTCTGCAATTATAGTAGTCATTTTCAACCTCAGAACCCCTCTAAGTTGTGTCACGCCAGCTCTGACAATGAGAGAGCCTTCATAGCGTGCTACTTGGGGTTTTCTCCACTATTAGTAGTAGTAGCACAGCAGAAAAAACGACTAACAAGGTTAAGTGGGAGCATGAGCTCCTCCTTGATGAAACTGGGCAAGAAAGCTTGCAGTAAAGAGGCTTGAAGATTGTAAGTGTACTGACACAGTACGGCAGCAATCAACGGAGTAGAAGTAAACATTGCTCTCCATGGTAGCGGCCCGATAGTCTGAACATATAGGTACTTTATGGTACTGCAATGGATATTCAGAGTATCACTCTCTATTAGTTTAAGAGGGGTGGAGCTGTCGTATCGACGCAGTCAGTCAGGGTGGTTTCAAGAAGGATGAAATGAGCCTATCCGCACCTTTCACATTACTGGTTGTTTTCTTCCCAAATCGATCACCAACGGATCACTATTGGTCGAGCAACGAAGCCGGAGGTGGGCTCACTCCGCGCTCCTGACGCCCCCAACTAACTGCGACTTTGACTTGGTTCAGTATAAAGTTATCGTGAATCAATTACAGTATTAATAGCACTGAGCAATCACGGGCTTCTTACTACAGGTCTTTTTCGCATAATCCAATATGAATTTCACGAGCCAGCGGAATTACTCCTTACCATGCTTACTCATACGCCTTTCTTAGGATTTCAAACATAAGCCACCATCCGGGCAACCTATGGTGTTACAGGGTGCAGCATCTTTGGTAGAACCCCCATCAGGGTAGGCGTAAATTGTCATTGTGAAGGGGGCTCCTGTTAGCCTGATGTGGGTCGTATCTGGTCTTGACAAAAAACTTCCCGAGCTGAGAGGAATTCTCTGGTAGCTATCACAAAAATGCCGAGTTATGGGCAAAAGGGAGACCACGGACGAGATTCGAGCCCGTCTCATCACGTTGAAGTGAGTGCTCGAGCAATGGCACAAATAGCCATTGAGCTGAGTGGTCAAAAGTGGCCTCGGTAGCGTAATAGGGAACGCAGCTGCACGGAAAGCAGAAGATGCGGGTTCGAATCCCGTCCGTGGTCCGACTTTTGCCCATATCTTTTACTCAGCATTCTGCTTGTGATGCCTTTGCGGATCGCCCGCAACTGCGGGCATTAAACAGCAGTTGACTAACAAGTAAACAGGATTGAAAAATCTCAGTCAGCTCTGCTCCGTGGTTCTTCCCCATCCATGGGTGTTAACTCATCACCCCTCCCCCCCCCCTCCTCGCTTAGTTGGCGGCGTCGCACCACTATTATGCATTATGCATGCACCACTATCTCTCGTAGTCGAAATCACTAGTACTTTGGTGACAACCTACCCTCACCGTTCCACTCCTGGAAAATGGTAGGAAGATGGTAGGAAGGATGGGGGAAGGGTCGTAGCGGAGGAAGAATTTGGGCGAGGGAGGGGAGGGGGAAGCGCAAGGCATCTAAGGCATTGTTCACAGTCGCAGGCCCTGACGAAACGGCGGTTGGGAGAAAAGCAATAAATAGTCGTCGATCGGAGAATCGCGCCCCAAGCCGTGGCAACCGCCCAACGCCGCGGTTGGGCCGAAAAGCAGTTAGATGTATCGATTTCGCTGGCGAAAAACGCCACCGAGATGGAGCTAGCGTTTTGTCGAAGGCGAAAAACGTCGCGGTTTGGCGAAACGCCCGTCGATACGTACCAAAACCCTTTCGCCCAACCGCCAGGCTCTTCGCCCAACCGCCAGTCGATATGTATCGAAAAGCTTTTCGCCGAACCGCCGCGTTTCAGAGAAACGCTGGACCGCAGAGTGTGAACAATGCCTAAGGGTGCAATATCTCTTATTCTGCTGCTGCATCCTGCCTCTGAGGCACCTAAGGAAGGCCAGGACAACGATGCTCCGCCGTCAAGACCTATAAATAAACAACCGTAACAACAGTTATCCTCACCTTTGCGTGAGTATGTTGGATTTGCCCAGCTAGATACGCTCTCTCTTCATTTGAGATGAATTTATGAGTTGTCGGTGAATTAGTCACATAAAAGCAGAATAAAACGAGCCAGATACAGCCCAATCCACCGAATAAGTAGAATATCGAAGGCCAGCCGATACTCAGCGTGCACAAATATGATGATATCAATGAAGAAAGAGAGGCTGCTAGCTGAAAGCTATTTTTGAACTTTCTGATGCTGATGAGCGACCCCGTGGGATCAAAGAAACAAAACCTGGTTTCCGGATGTGTACAGCGCAGCAACTGTGGACTTCTCTGCTGGCGCGAACCACTTACCAACCAAACTCGAAAGGCACGGGAAAAAGAAGCCCTGAAATGGTTACACTATTGTTATATACTTTACACTCCTCTGAAATGGTTCTGCTATTGTTACACACTTCACACTCCTTATGCTTAGACATAGGCGTGGCATATGAACACGGCACAGAATGACTTACTCGTGGGATATTCCAGTTTGAGACAACTGTCAACTTGTTCTGTGCTGGACAGAGACACGACCACAATTGGCTCGAAGCGAATATATCGCCAAATAAGCAAGCTGCCGCCACGCTTAGCTTAAGTATGCAGCAACGCCCATCACATCTCGGGGATTTAGTGTAATTTGGTTCACAATTGCAGCGATAGTGGACGCTAGCTAAGGCTATGCAATAACTTTCTAGATGATGACTTGGTTTTGCAATTTCAACTACTTCTTACTTTGCTTTCGCCACTAACCAGCACTACCTTCGAAACTTGCTCCTTTTTGAAACCTCATTAAGTGGCAAATATTCTCCCTCACTGGAATGCAATTCTTTTTCCCTGAGTAAATAGCTTCGATCTACATGGGGTTTAAAGACACACTCTGCGACTGTAAGTCTCGGATCGAGGTCCAAACATGGAGATTTAAGCACTGCCTGAATCTCTAGAAAGAATGGAGCAGAAAAGATAGTTGAAAACGCCCTCAATGAAGTCCGATTCATTTTATAGCATAGTACTAGCAAGGGGAAATACTCGGCCAGAAAGCCGCAGGTGAGAGCCATGCAATGCTCATCACGGTGGGGGCGTGTTACTGGGGCGCGGGTTTTGGCACGGCTCCAACACGTTAACCGCTACGTATTCAACTTCAGAAGCCACAACAATTGAAGGACAACGGGCTGTCGCCACGCCAAAGTCCACGCACGGGCTGACACGTCCCGACTAACTTCATTTATAAGCAGACGCACAAAAAGGACGAGAAAATCGATTGCAACGCCACATACCTACTTGTCGCATATTTATGACCACTCATTTGGGAAGGATAATCACAACTACCACTAGCTCTTAGCGCCCCTACCAAGCACTTTCACGCTGTGAATGTGGTCGGCAGCATCTCAGGCGGATGCGGACCTGCGCTCCTCATGGGTGGGGAGAAATTCCATCCCTCATCTCTCTTTAAAGAAACGGTCCGGGATGACCTATGAAAATGCAAATGTACGTGAAGGGTAGTGTGCCCCGTAGTGGACAACCTTTTGTCAGTTTTGCGGCGGAAGTTGTGAGGTAAAGGAATTAAGGGTCAAGGTTGCTCCCCCCTTTTCCAGTGACTCCGCCTCCTACTCCGCCTTCAAAGTACACCTTCCAGCAAAAAAGACGCCACAGGACGAGTACCATGAAATGCTCGAAGACGTGTAGGATTAATACCTCTAGCGAGACAGGGTTCGGCACCCCTAAGCAGGCACTGCGTGAGGCCCTTTCCAAGGAAGGATCGCCCTATCAAGCTGCACATGCCGACCTGAACACCCACCACAATCGCCCGCTCACAAATGGCCGCACACTCCTTTCGCTTCATTTATGCAATAAAATCTATATGAAGCATTGCTAGGAGAGTATATGAATACGTGCGGCCGTATCTGTCAAAGCACTTGCTGGCACAATGCCAACGAGGAACTTATCCGAAAAGCTCGTCCAATGCCATACAGAACAAAGGTTTTTCCACAGGTTTTTGACCGTTTTAGTTTGCTTTATCGTCATTTCCCCACGCCACCCTCCTACTATTTTTGAAGAAGTTCCAGATTTTCGTACCCTAGACCAAAAAAATGAGACCTGCCTACCTCTCCGATTCCCATGATAACTCTGGATACGAAATATGCATAGTAAGACCATTGAGAAAGTAGAGGAGTGAGCAGAGTAACAATAATGTAGTCTAACGTAACAACTGAAAAAAACATGTTGATTAGTGACAAACAAGGGTGAACCTAAAGACTCGAGGAGGCTCTATAGCTTCATCCATACCT